GAATGCTAGTTGAACTGGGAATGCTAGTTGAACTGGGAATGCTAGTTGCCAGCGCTGTCAAAACTTTTCAAGCTATCATAGCGCTGTAAAATAGCGTTCTCACCCCCTTCAAAACCCCGCTGCGGTAGCCATACGATCAACCTTATGCCTGTGTCTAACTTGGCGAAGCGTACCAAGCTGCTTCCTATGCGTGGACGGGAGCCGTTTTTGGCTGAGGGTTGCTGCTGTGGCCTCTTCTTCATGCTAGTCACCTGCTGGAAGCGGAAGTATTGAGTTTGGGAATCGGACAGAGTACACCGGTGCGTGTGAGCACGTATGGTGTAAGCGGGTAGATGTATAATTGTCTGTGCACTCAGATTTCGTTTGAGTGAAAAAGAGGAAGCCGGTTTCGCTAGCGACTGGACAGACAATAACTAAAACGAATCCTTACGGTAACTTTCTAGCCCTTATTTCAGACTGGCGCTTATTTAAGGATACTCTAGGGCACAGCGGTGTAGGAATAATAATATTTAAGGATACTCTACCATTTCCCTGCTTACACAGGTTCAGCGAGATATGTTGATACAGCTGGTGGTATGGCCACCATCCAATTGGGTCTGTTGTTGCGCGATGACTCTTCCACACCGATCACATCCGCAAATGCATCGATGCCTCAGCGACACATGCCGGACCTGTCAGGAGGCGACTTAACACTTGGTAGAAGCGAATTCGGCGAAAGTCAAGACTACTCGTGTCTGCTTAATCTAAACGAAAGATCGGCTTTTCAGGAAGTTGAGCCGCCCTGCCAAGGGACCGCGAGATGGCGGCGGTGGTGCAACCTGAGACAGTGGTCGAGGTGGCCGACCGCCCACCCTCCCCAAAACGACCGAGCCGCGCCCCGAAACCGAGTGGGAAAGTCCGTGAAGCGATGCAATCACTGGAGGATGCGGCCACTACGTCGAGGAGACCCACAAATCATGCTACGCGAAGCACCGCATCGAAAGTAACACGTGTACTGGGCTTAAACCCACACCCTACTCGCCGGACATGAACCCGATCGAGGAGCTCTTTGCCGAGATCAAGACGTACATCAGACAACAGCGGAGCAACCATGCCGACCTCTTCGAGAAAGACTTCAGGACGTTCTTGGAAATGTCTGTTGATGTTGTCGGTTCGGCGGAGAGTGCTGAAGGTCACTTTCGTCACTCTAGCATTTCCATTGTGTATCCTCGTGAATGATAGTGTTGTTACTGTAGAAATAGAATCGTATAGTGCTATACCTATTTTTTCTCTTCTAGCCAAGCCTTGACCTTGCTAACAAATTGGATTGCAATCCCTCGCTTTACCCCCTCTCAACAACGGACTTGGCTTCTAGATCCTGGGCGGAGAAGAGCCGCTCGAGATCGAGACCCTCTCCCACAAGCGTCCCGGTAACCGCTTTTCCATCCGGGATCGGTTGCCCGTGCGCAAAGCCATTCACAGTAACGGTGGAGAGTGGCATAACGAATGCCGGGCTCCCCTCGAGTGTCTGGAGCCGGTACGGCGGAATAGCCAGCTGAGTCCTGATTGCAACGTGCAGACAAGGCTTTGATATGAATCGGAGGCAAGCTTTCTGACAGGGAGGCTTGCCGCTTACGCTTTCCACGCTCCGAGGATTGCTGGTCCTTGGCATAGAACAGCTCACGGACCCATGGTAGCACGTCTCCGTGAGTCCTTAGCGTGTTGCCTCCTCGGCGTAGTCGACAAGCTTTGTCAAACACTGGTATCAAGCTCGTAATGCTTCCTATTGCCTGGATCTCGCCAGCAATGAGGCCCTTGGCATGGAGGCCCGGTGCACCGCTGATACGGAAAAGAGACGTATGCTGGGAAAAGAGGGCAAATGCCATGTATTCGGGGAGAAGTCAGGTTGTGGTCCTCTGGTAGTTGCAAGCAGCAACTGCAGTGGTGGGAGATATCCCACGATCCAGAGTGGGGCAGCCTTATCTTATCTACATACAAACAACCACTCCACCAATGGTGGGGTATAGCACCTAGCCCTCACCCTGCGCGATACCTTCCGGTATCAAATGCCGGCACGCAAAGGAAAACGCAGTGCCCTCACTGCGCATGCATCGCTCGGCAAGGTGATGACAGTCAGCCTGGGCGAACCATGCTTGCCATCCTTGCCATCCAGAGACTTGGGTCCAACTGGTTCAACTGCATCGACTTTCCTCCTCTCCAACCACTGTTCTTGATGATCCAGTTCTTCAAAGCCCTGACTAAATCGTTGCCGTTGAGGGTGACAGAAGGACTGGCGCGGCCAGAGGATCTGGAACGCCTTACGCGGCCGTGGGTGCGAAAATGGTCGAAAAGCTGGTTCCTCGATGCGAACACATGGCCGCAGGTGCGGCAGGTTGACTGGGCGGTCGGGTGAGCTGTTGCGCATGCGTTTGACTGGGCCGTTGGTAAGGCAGTCGCGCAAGTGGTCGAGTGGGCGGTCGCGCATGTAATTGAGCAAGCCGTTGAGCTGGACGAACGTCGCGCCGGAGGGCCGGAAGAACTTTTTCTCGGAGCCGCCTTTTGTTGAATATCGACGAGTTCAGTGGAAATCACGTGTCCGGGCGATTTGACGGCTGGTTCGTTCAGAGCTGTGGGCTCTGCCACAAAGGCTGGCACCGCAGTCAGCTCTGCAGCCGGTACTGCAGGCAGATCTTCCGCTGGCACCACGGCTGGCACCGCGGTCGGCATCGCGGTCGGTTCTTTGGTAGGCACTGCGGCTGGGCGGGACGGCGATGAAGGTCTCGTGACCCCACGAGCTGTCAATTGGGCTGTCGGCTTGGTTCCAAGAGAATCGGTGACCCAAGCTGAGCGGGTAAATTTGCATAATGTGGGCTTGCCATCCTCCATGCCAGGAAGATACATATCGAAAGTAGCCCATTCGCTGACGCGCAAACGGTCATTGCCAATGCCTTTCACCTTGCCTCTACGGCGCTCGATCTCATGGTTGAGAGTGCGTATAAAGCGGCGGCCGATCAAAGAACGGCTGGCGCCGGGATCACCGCAAACTTCAACGGTCTCTGCATCAGGAGAGGCTTTGGCAGCAATGCGCAGGAAAGTGTAAGAGCTCAACGGGCTGCCCGCGTCACCGGTGTTGACCGGCTCGGGAGCATCCTTCACCAGGTAGATGGTGTCGTCGGCGATGCCGTTGGTGGGACTGTCCGTCATGCCAATCGCGCGGGTGCAGGAGACTTCCTTGCAGGTTGCCAGAGTCGCAGTCGGGGGGCGGGTGATAATTTTTCCTGACGTCCTTGGAGACCTTGATGTGCTTGAAGAGCGCGTTGCGCGTCTCGAACGTGTGATGTCTATGGCTGGAGGCGCGGCTCGGCTTTATGCCCTAGCCGCGAACTAGCAACGAGCTGGACACGCTCCACTCGCCCATGGGATCTTGTTTGTCTTTCATCGCTCAGAAGATAACCCAGCCATAGCCTTGCATCAACTCGGCCACTTCGGGGACTGGGCTTCTGCATTGGAGCACAGCGAAGGGATGGCCTTGAACTAGACATGAATCCGCGCTAATACCTACCGAATGAACTGTGAAATGCGCTACTACCCACGTGTTCCTCTCGATGCGGTGCTTCGTGTAGCATGGATTGCGGTTCTTCTCGACATAATGGCCGCATCCTCCAGCGATTGCCTCGCTTCACGGACTTTCGCACTCGGTTTCGGGGCGGGGCTCGGTCGTTTCGGTGAGGGTGGGCGGTCGGCCACCTCGATCACTGCCTCAGGTTGCGCCGCCGCCGCCATCTCGCGATCCCTTGGCAGGGCGGCTCAACTTCCGAAAAAGCCGATTTTCTGTTGGATTGAGCAGACAAGTACCGCCTTCAGTGATATGCAAAGCTGCCTCTACTTCTGGAACTTCTACGAGTTCTTGGGGTGATTGTTGCCCAAGAGCCACATGACAGGAATAGGCGTGCAACCAGACCTTATGTTGGAACGTGAACCCTGATTCAGGGGGTGCCAAGACGGACCCACATGTGGCTGGTGATAGACACCCTGGAGGCTATCTGGAACATCGGACAGTTGAGAACACAGAACACAATCAACATCAGGAACAACCAAAAATTGACATCCTCGTGACACTCTGCGACCACTGACCATTTTCCCCTTCGTTTGCCTCGTAGCGGTTCCGACACCTTAAGTACTGGAGCAGTGACCCATGCGTGTGCATGACACAGACATGTGATCAGATACATGATCAGAGACCCATGACGTATACATGACCATGACACAGGAACGGGAGAAGCCAGTGACATCTCGGTTCTTTCTTGCTCTTTCACTATAAGCCACCCTGCCTCTCTTCATTCTCAATGCATGAGACCACATGGACTCGTTCGACCTCCCATTGCAAGCCAGCGGAGAGTTTGCCAGCCCATAACACTCATTTTAGAATCCGAGTAGTCACTCAGCGGCCATTCGTCCATCATTCCTCAAGGTTAGAAAGACAGCGAGCTATGTAGAGAGTATACTCGGGTACTCGAGCTGCATAGATGGCATCCACTTCTACCGACTCGGATGCTTATAGCATGGTTTATGATTCTCTAGCTGTTCACTAGCACGCGGAAGTTCACTTCCTCCGCGGACGGCATGGGGCCTTAATTCTCTCAGACGTCTCGAGAACCGCAACGCTCAGCGGCGGAATACTGAAATCGAACACTCCGCCCGGCCCTGCAGACAGCTCAGAGTGCGTTTCCTTGACGACATTTACCCGAGTGAATGGGTCATTGTAGCCATACGGGTCAGCGGGTCCGGTAAGAACCGTCAGCTTTGCCGTTGCCCCCTTCTTCGTGATTCCCTCGAACTTGAGCGAGACCGGCACGGACTCGGTTGAGTTGTACACGCCAGCCTTGAAGATTCCGGTGCCTGCGGCACTTTGCCCGGCGACGTAGTAGAGGGGATCTAGATTGGGCTTCCCGGGCGGCGCTGACACCGGGAGCGTGGTCTTGATGATGTGACTTGCGAGTAGCTGTAGGCACGCTGAGTGTAAGCACCGCGTGATACCAAATCAGTCAGGTTAAATTTGACTCACCCGCCAGACATACCAGCTCGTGGAGAGCGTGGTAAGTGCTGGATCAGCTGCATGCTGGATTATCGTGATGCTCCACTGCCACTGGTTCATGTTGCGGAGGATCGGGGCCTATACGAGCGTCAGCTATGCGATTCTGAACCGGCGCGATTGCAAAGATGACTCACGAAGGCTGCGCCGAGAATCCTGTCTGCGTTCCTCTCAGCGCTAATCAAGAAAATCCCTTCTGCGACACTGCCTCCCCACCACGGGAAGGGCATGAGCTGGCCTTCCCATTTGATTCCCCCATTGGGGTGCACCGAAGAAGCTTCTCCTGTTGGCTTGTTAGTGATGCAAAATTACCGCCGCGGTGAGCCAAGATTTGTGTGTTTGTATAACGTTACCAATTAATGTCAAATTGTCCTTCGTCAACCCATCGAGCTTATTGAAGCCCGTAACAAATTCATCCGGCGTGAGGTATGGGTGCCAATCACCGGCCACCCCCTTTGGGATCACCATGTCATCAAACACTGATGGGGACGAAATGAGCTGGATATGCGGATATTTTTCCTCGAACGCCTTTTTGAAGGCCGGGAATCGATACCGCTTGTACGATTCGAAACCGGCGGGCCGGCCAGCGAGCCAGTCCTCATTGCCGATCTCGACATAAGTAATGTTCCATGGCTTCGGGTAGCCAAGCGAGGCACGGACAGCACCCCATTTCGTGGTGTTGGCATCGCCCACCAGAAACTCGAGCTCGTCGAGGGCATACTGAACTGCCCACCCAATCTCGGATTCAGGGAGGAAGTTTCCGTCAAGGGCGAGACCAGCCCAGACACCAAGAACTGTGACGTATTAGCTGTTACTATCTTATTCTAGGGAAGTTTGGCGGCATACTCGGCTCGAGGTTCATATCCTCGCACCACTCCAAGTACTCGATGATGCCCAAGCCGTTCGTCATCTGGTAGTTCCACACACCAGCCATGCCTGGCCTGTCCTTCAGGGGCCCGATCGTTTCATTCCACTTGTAGAACGAGTTAAGGTCATTGCCCTCGAGAGCATTGCCACCAGGAAACCGAAGAAATGTCTATATGCCGTCAGTCCAGAGTTTACCACGGGTGGTGTAGCAGTATCCCTACCGGCTTCAACCCAGCAAGCGCTTCCGCAATGTCCACACGTAACCCGTTCTTCCGGTCCTTGTACGTTGGCGGGAACAAGCTAATCAGATTCAGGTTCAGAGAGCCCTCCATCAGCCCCTATAAAAAGTGTCAACCCGGTCCCTCGCATCGTTGATGCTAATAGAAGTCTTACCTCAGCATCGAACTCAAGAACAAAAGTGTTGTTGCTGTTTGGCGCATTCTTCTCAGGGACGAGTTCAAACCGCTTTTCTGTCCACTCGCTCGTGCTCGGACCGCTGATCTTGGCCGCCCCAAAGACCTCGCCAGTGATCGCACTCTTCAAGCTGACCTGGAAATCCCCCTTATACGTGCCCTGCACCCAGAAGCTCCCGGTGTACTTCTGCGCCTTCACGTCCATGCCCCAGAAGCCGGCATTTGCAAGCCCAATCTTGCCCTTCGTCTTACCCTCACGTGGTGCCACATTCACCGAGTACGGCAGCGCTGCGGAGATAGGGGTAGAAAGCTTTTTCAGAGAGAGAATGGCATCATGGACGGGCGACCACCCGTCGAGGTTGGAGGGGTATTTCTCGCTGCCCTGGAATGCGCGGTTACGGATCAGTTCGGCGTAGATGCCTCCGTCTCCCGAGTTGTTGATGTCCTCATGCAAGAAACCATACATGTGCGGGGTGGTTGCGTTCCCGCCCGTCGAGCGAACCACCATTTCAATGGCAAGACTGGGTGCCGAGACGGCGAGGAAGAGAAGGGCGTGGGGCCTCATGGTGAACGGGAAGGACGCGCACTGAGACGAACGACGTCCAGGAACAGAAAGGGTGCCGGGAGGGTGATCCTGGATTCAACGGGGCGTTCTGATCTTGCTATAAGTACAGTACCTACCTTACACATTGCATCTCTCCTTGTGCTAATATCGATGAACCTGGTTCTCGGGTCTTGGCCCCTGTGTTTAGGCTAATACCTTTGGTACTCCATGACTCCATGCGGCCATCCATTAGCCAAGACTGGGGTCCGGGGCCGCAAGGCAAGAAATAGCCTATACAGTGACCCCCTGCCGGCCAGTGTATTTTTTGTTAAGCGCGCCAATGCCATTAATTTGAAATGCACTACACTAGCTAGGCCAACGAACTCCATGATGAGTGACTCACCCGTAAAGGGCTGGTCGAGCGGGATCTCTTTTGTCGTCGCGATCTCGTTGATCAGGTCCACACAGCGCTCGAAGCGCGAGAGGGATACACTGGTGACCCATCTCTGAATTTCAGCATAACCGAGCATAACTCGCGAACAGCCTTTTCCTTTCTCGTTGAAATTCTATAATTCCACCAATTTTGCTCGAGCCAATTTCGTGAACAATCCTCGGTATAGTAATTCGCCTGTGTCGACAGCTCAGTTCCCTTTCGACGGAATAATCTACTTGGATCTGTCATAGATATCCACTCATCCGAACCAACGGCATCTGCGATATGTAATCTGATACCGGAGGCTTTCCGCAAGGGCTCACCCGAGCCGTGCCTGGCAGTGATGGCTCTGCTTCGACTGCCGGCGAGCTTGGGAGTTGTGGATCCCGTAGCTGGGGGTTCGCTGGCGTAGGGAACGGGAGGAGTGAGTGAAAAAGAGGACTATAGAATCCAAGGAGCGATTTGAAGTGAACTGCTGAAAAGCGATCAAGCGGGTGAGATCGCGCCGAACACCTTCGAAGGCGAACAGACGATCTTGATGACGACGCTGTCCCAGGCCTTGCGCGGTTCCTGCAGCCGTTCGTCGCGGCGAAGCGCCAGCCTCGCATGGAAGTCGTCGAGGTTCTTGGCCTCGTGAGCAGCGTGCGTCACTTTGGGGCAAACGAGCGCGTCGTGATTTGGTGCAGTTGCCATTCGTTATTGCCCAGCGGGCAACCGCTGGTCGAGTCGGTCAACGTGTAGCCGTCGTAGTTGAGCACCGAAGCCGTAGGGTTCTCCTCGGTTGTTACGGTCGAGGGAGGGAAGTGGGTGTTGAGGATAGTTTTGGACTTTTTCGCCGTCACTGGCTCGCCAGCTGGTTGGCGCTGGCGTATGATCTTCTTGGGTGGCTGGACGGCGGCAGGCCCGGCAAGGGGGAAGCTTTAAGAACGAACAGGCAAGCCGTGTCGCCCACCGTGAGGTCGGTAGTCTCCGGGACACCAGGTGGAGAGGGCGGCCTAGCCGAGGGATTGCGAGTAAAAACCCCCCGAATGGGAATGTAGAACTGTCTAAAACCCGTGGGGACTTCTGCGACGGGTTCCGGGGCATGGGAGGGTGCTTCGGGCAGGGCGAATTGAGCGGGGCCGATGCCGTCCGGTGAGGTCTGTTTTTTGAAGGCGTTTTTGTCGTCAAGGTCTTACCAGATGGTCGGGAGTAGCTTGTGATCATCTCGATCCTTTTAGGTTTCGTCGCCCCGCTGCCGCCCCTGTCGTTTCTACTGCCGAGAGCGAGCTAGCCGTCGAGGGCGATGTTTCGCTCGTGCTGCACTTGCTCGGTGCGGAATCGGGCGTCTGGTGCGGGGCATTGCGCTTCAGTGACCGCAGCGCCGTCGACCTCTTGGTGATGCCGGTCTCCGCGTTCCTGGTAGCCCCCCAGTGCTTCTTGCATCCTTATGTCTCTTCACGTTGTCCTTCCTGCCCATGTTATCCGCCACGGAGCACCTGTCCTCCTCCTTCGGCACACCACGGATCCTCGCTTCATCGGGGTGGTGTGTCCACATGTGCCGGTTGAGATATTTGGTCTCGGCCCGGCGGGCGCCGCAGATGTTGCGTATGCCTTCCCGCACTTGCACCTCGTGATACTGCGTATACATCGCCTCCAGATCGGTCTTCCGTTCGGCAGTCTTGCGAACCCGCGCCTTCGACTTCGTTTTGATGCAGTGGAACAGCGTATGTTGTCGACGCAAATACCGCGAAGCCCATCTTCCAGTGGCCGTCGGGGCGCGGTTGTTGGCTTCCAGGAACGAATTGGCCGTATTTGCGATCTCGACGTCGGTGAATTGCGTGCCTGCGTAAGAGGTCAGCCAACAGTAGCCAGGAACCAACGACAGCGACATACCAATCGACAACCGCGTATTTACCCCTGCCCAGAGGGCCAGTTCCTCTGGCGCATTGAGCTTCGTGTGATTACCGCCGTTCAACACGCGAATGGCTTCCTCTTAACGTCGGCGAAGCTTCTGACGGCATACCTGCCAGCCGCGGGCAGCTTGGCTGGCATTCTTGCACTCGCCTGAATAACAGACCGCACTGCCCGCTGAAGTCGATCTTCTTCTGGGAGGCCAGCACAGCTTCCAGGACAGGGAAAATAAAGTCGGGATTTGAAGAGGCTATTGCAACCGTAATTGCGCTTTCCAAAGACTTCATAGCCAGGGGTTGGATGGAGATGCTCGGTATTGCACGAATCGCGTTGTTTTCCAAATTCGATAGGTATGACAAGCTAGGAGCTAGCGTGTCAGGAGGTATGATGAGCCAGGAGCTAACGTGTCAGGAGGCATGACGAGCGAGGAGCCAACGTGTTAGGAGGCTTGGGTCGCTATAAGGATGGGACCAGGCTGTGTGATTTCGCATGAACCCTGTCCGCAGGGGCACCAGGAATCGTAGAGCCAAGGAATGAAAGGCGTGCGAGATTGCTCGGACATCACAAGCACAGATCTTCTTCGTCTTTAAACAGGCAGCGAAGTGAGCCACTTTAAGAACGATACCAGACTGTGTGAACTCGTACCACCCCCGTCAGGGGCATCAGGAAGTTGAGAAGAATAAAGCTGGGGAGGCAGATGGCATCAACTGGAGAAAGAAGAGATCGTGTAAGACTTGGACTGCGCAAGGACTGAGCGTAGTCTGTTGCAAAGATCGTTTGTATGTGTTGGAAAGCCAACAGCCACAATTCCACGGTGACACACTTTGTGGGAGCCGTTAAAACAGTGAACTTTTCGAGTGCTTAGGACCAGCCCAGAATCTGTCGATTGAGTTCTCTTCGTCTCAAGTTATCTGGGTACCTCGCAGACCTTATGTAACAGCTGTGTATTACCCCTGGCCAGGGTACGACACCGGCAACGCAGTTCCCGAGTTTCAAGTGCCATCACTTCCAACAGTATGATAAACATTGTGTTATGATCCTTTCAATGTCCATTCATTTCATTTATGATATGCAGCAAGCGAGTCAGTTGCCGATGTACCAAGTATGCTAGCCTGATTTTGTGTCATAGGTGCGGCGTGGCTATAAGCTCCTTATGGTTAACGGTTCTTCCGGTTAGTTTTATGCCTTGGCTGTGATCCGCCAAATAGTCCCCGAAGATGCTGTTTTGGGAGGTGCGAGATCGCGCCCTAGAGCGCGTTTACTTCACTTTTTGTTTTCTTAATAGTCGCTGGACGGCTTCCCTCCTCTCTTTAATTATCTCTCGACGTCTACCGTCATCTTGCTGAGCCGACGCTGCGTTCTGGCAATTTTTGTGCAAGCTCTATAATCCCTGGCTTCAAGCCGAGTTGAGAAGACCAGCTTAAGCCTGGATGTTTCGCCAATCCTGTTCACCTTATTACACTGCTCGCGGAACCTTCCCCACTTCTAGGAATCGCATTGACATTAAATCCGTTCGTAAGAGCACATTGCTGCGTAACAATCAGATAAGGAGGATATGAAGATGGAAAAAAGGGTTGAGTAACCCTATAGTAGTAGAATCCCGTCAAATCATCATGACTCTGAGCGCTGTCAAGGGCGGCGTATCTTGCTGCTTATGCGTGACGAGACTCGTGTCCCGATAGGTTGGTAGCGACCAAGAAGTCTGCAACGGGCTGGGCCCGAGATGGATGGATGGATGGGTGGAATTTATTTCGCCCGGAGGCACGAAGCCTAAAGGGCCTTGGCACGCTAACTTGTACATCCGATTCGTTGACGTTCGGTCATCAACTCGTACAAGCCCTCTACTTTCTCCCTTTTTCTCACGCCACCTGTTGCCTCTTGACTTAGTTTAGCAGATCGACTTGGAGGCTGCGTTCTCCAAGTGTTCAGCGTCCTAT